GCCTCACCACCCTCTGAGTAAAGAATTTTTTCCTAATGTCTAATCTAAATTTCCCCTCTTTCAGTCTGAAACCATTCCCCCTTGTCCTGTCACTATCTGCCCTTATAAAGAGTCTCTCCCCCTCTTTTATATAAGCCCCCTTTAAGTATTGGAAGGCCACTATAAGGTCTCCCTGGAACCTTTTCTTCTCCATGCTGAACAACCCCAACTCCCTCAGCCTGTCTTCATAGCAGAGGTGCTCCAGCCCTCTGATCATCTTAGTGGCCCTCCTCTGGACCTGTTCTAAAAGGTCCACATCTTTCCTGTGCTGAGGGCTCCAGAGGTGGATGCAGTACTCTAGGTGGGGTCTCACGAGGGCAGAGTAGAGGGGGAGAATCTGCTCCCTCAACCTGCTGGCCATGCCTCTTCTGATGCAGCCCAGGATACGGTTGGCTTTCTGGGCTGCTAGTGCACATTGCTGGCTCATATCCAGCTTTTCGTCCGTCAGGACCCCCAAGTCCTTCTCTGCGTGGCTGCTCTCAATGAGTTCTTCTCCCAGTCTGTACTCATGTCTGGGATTGCCTCGACCCGGGGGCAGGACCTTACGCTTGGACTTGTTGAACCTCATTTGGTTCACATGGGCCCACTTCTCAAGCTTGTCCCCCTGGATGGCATCCCATCCTTCAGGTGTGTAAACTGCACCACTCAGCTTCGTGTTATCCACAGACTTGCTGGGGGTGCACTGTATCCCACTCTCTATATCATTGATGAAGATATTGAAAAGCACCGGTCCCAAGACAGAGCCTTGAGGGACACCACTCGTCACCAGTTTCCACGTGGATATAGAGCCATTGACCGCAACTCTCTGGATGCATCCATCCAGCCAATTTCTTACCCGTGAAATAGTCCACCCTTCAAATCCGTATCTCTCTAATTTAGAAATAAGGATATTGTGTAGGACTGTGTCAAAGGCTTTACAGAAGTCTAGGTAGATGGCATCAATCGGTCTTCCCTTGTCGACTGTTGCAGTGACTCCATCATAGAAGGCCACCAGATTGGACAGGCACGATTTGCCCTTGGTGAATCCGTGCTGGCTTACTCAGATCATCTCCTTGTCTTGCATGTGCCTTAACATTGCTTCCGTGAGGATCCATTCCGTGATCTTCCCAGGCACAGAGGTGAGGCTCACCGGTCTGTAATTCCCCAGGTCCTACTTCCTACCCTTTTTAAAAATAGGGGTGATGTTACCCTTTTTCCAGTCATCTGGGACCTCACCTGGCTGCCGTGACTTTTCAGGTATGATGGAGAGTGGTCTTACAACTACATCAGCCAGTTCCCTTAGGACCCTGGGATGTATGTCATCAGGTCCCATAGACTTCTGTGTGTTCAGTTTTATCAGGTGCTCTCGAACTTGCTCTTTGCTTACAGTCGGAGGGCCTTCACTCCCCCAGCCCTCTCCTAGAGGTTCTCGTACTTGGTAGGTGAAGGAAGCCTGGCTGCCAGTGAAGACTGAGATGAAGTCATCTCATCCAATAAATGGCAGAAATGAGTTAGTGTTTTGCAGGGCAACATAAGCTAAAGTTTTTATTCTATATGATGCTACTGTATTGAATTACTGGTAAATTTTGGTATGTCAGACAAGGATTGAACCAGCAGATACCCGGTTTAGACCAGACTGAGAGAATTGTGCTGATCCCCAGCTCCAGTATTATGGCTTCTGCTTCTTTATGCATAACTGGATTTTCCAAAAGTGCAATAAATCTGGAAAAAAGCAGGGGAGGGGTTCATGGGGGGAACAGTGTGGAGCTCTAGCTTTCTGCCTTTTTGTGCTTATAAGAGGTAAAATGACAAGGGAAGTATATTCCTGCTCTTCTTGTAAATGTGTTTTCCTCTTTTCCATGAAGGCGACAGATCCAGTTTATTACACTTTGCAGTTGTAGTTCTGAGCATTTGACGTCCATGCTGCCAACTATAATAATTCTGAGTCAGCATAAGTTCCTGCTAAACTACACATCTCCTTTGTTCAAGAGGAGTGTGCAGGGGAGCATACAAGAAAAAGATTTCTTATAAGAAAAACAACATTTTTATTCAGCAGTTCTTTTCTATGAAGTGGAAACTGTTTGATACCAAGTCTTCTGCCTCTCTTCCAAGTCATGTACACAGCTTGTCTGGTAAAGATTTTTGCCTCTACGTGTGTATGCAGGTATTCAGAGCTAAGCAAGCTAAGCAGAAGCAGTACTGAATCAGTATAATCCCAGACATTTCATAAAGGTTACAGGGAAGGAAAGAGAGAGCTATTGTTAGTCTTGAAATGAAAATACCTCCCTCTCCAGATCAAGAAAAGGCCGTTAATATGTGCTTGTTAGCTTAGAGAATGGTCCCCAAAACATTGTTGTGCACCATTATATACACACACACTGAAAAGACGTAGAAGTGAATGACACCTCTGTGTATTGTATCTTCCAAATTATACAGGTAAAAATTTCACTTCACACGCAGTTACCACTTTTTGCCTACCCTGGAATGTTTTTTCTCATTTTCTCTTTCATCGTTTGAAGAGGAGAAATGTGTAGACTGATTCATAGAAGTGCACATGTGAATAAACTAAAGAATATAAAAAATGTGGAGAATGCCACAAAACATGAACTAGATTCTCATGTGAACTTCTTATTTTCATATCCATTTATGCTTAATTGTGCTGAACAATCTGCATATCAATGACTCTTAGAAGGGGGCAGTTTGCCTGACTTCCATTTGGAACTGTAGTTTGCTCTGGATTCACTGAAAAGTAAAACTAACACACCATTGTCAAGAACTGCAATATATATTTCTTTTCCAGAAGTATTGAGAAGTGTCTGAAGTGTTTCAGAAAAATGTCTGAACAAATAAAACAGAGTAGTAAACATGATAGCATAAGGAGTGCTGAAAGTAAATTTTTTATCATGTTTTCTGACAAGTTGGTGTGTTTAAAACTGTTTTGTCTGGCACCTAGAGATGAGTAGGTTCTGTCTTCAAAGATCTTGCAATATGATATTTTTTTCAGGGTTATGATAATTTTATTTGTAATTATGTAATAAAATTAACTGTATCCCTAGAGAATTGCCCATTGAAATATACCAAAAAGTTTCTACTCTGTTTATTTGTTGTGTTTCATGTAGGAAAGAAGGGAAAGGGAACGAAAGCTGAGCAAAGAAATGGCAGAAAAAGCCACAAAGGAACTAGAAAAAATGCAGTTACAAGAAAAGGCTGAAGTAAAATATAAAGAATGGTTAAAGAAGAAGAGAGCTGAAGAGGCAGAAAAGAAGAAGAGAGAGAAGGTATTAATCAACTAATTATTTATTTGGATGGAGTAACCTAATCTGTAACTTATATTCAATATATTGGTTGATTGAATTGATTAGAATTTATCAAATGGCAGTGTTGTACATGAAAAAAACTTTCAAGAGTTGTAATGTTAGTGCATTGAAGACACTGAGGTATGGTCAGCAAAGCAAAATGCATATTAATGCGTTTTTGTTAGTAGTCTTTGCAAACCCACTCCAATTGTGAGATGATAAGGCAAAGAGAAATGCAAGCAACACAGTGTACCTTTATTACTCAGTCCTTTGCAGGGTGACCCAGGCAGAAAATAGGGGGCATTCTGGGTATTTTTCTCCCAGCACCTCAATTATCATTCTATTATCATTATACTTGCACGTATTTCTAATTAAAAGCATATTTCTTCCTATCTATCTGTACCAATCTGATGCTAGGAGTTCTAATTTTAATGTTATTTCATATTAATTAATCACCTATGTATTTTTATAGTGAGCTTCAGAAGACCTCTTACTTGTAAGCTTCCTAAAGTATGGGCTTTGAGGTCCTCTGGTTCACTAGAACAAATACTCTAAGGCTAGCTTGCAGGAATCATCCAGAATTCCGCTGAAATATCACATATTGGCAATGATTATGCCTGAAAACTGAGAGATGTGTGACCAGTTGTCTTATCTATGAAGTTGATTGATTGTATTTTAATTGAATTAACATTACAGTATAATTTTTCAGTAGAATATGTAATATTATAGGAGTACTACACTACTGTTGTGGCTAAGTGGGGGGGGGATTGTGGTGATAAGAATTTATCTATATTCCTCCTGTAATTACAGTAGGTGTTCTTAAAGTGCAGAACACACCTTGTAAGTATTTCACAGGTACATATAATAATTTTTTTGGATTAACTTTAAAATACCATAAGCTGTATCAGATCAATTTTCAGGCCTTAATGACCTTAATTTTGCAGTCTTTCAAAAACACTTTTAAATGTTCGGTACTGGTGGTGTTTATTTCGTGCTTAACAAACTGGTTCTGTGTTTCTGCTGAGCCTCTAAAATGCACAGCACAAGGACCTTGAAACTCAAGAAAATGAAAGTCATCAGACAGATTTAAACCACATGCATTCTTTTAGTCATGTCTTCATTACGTAGGTTCTTATAAGCCATGTTCACAGTATCAATTAAACTTAGTTTAAATCCAAATGCCATGCCTAAACATACTGTTTTTAGTCTTAGTTCTGATAAATGGTTCCCCAAGCTTGCTCCAGGCTTGGAAGCAACCCAATTGTGGCTGATAGAGGGCTGTACAAATATGGGTAAATGAGAAGAGTGGATGGCTGTCCCGGATGCCGTAGCCTTTTTAGGCTAACTGCAGCACAGCAGGCCCTGGTCATCTTCCTGTTATGTTCAGAATATCTTCTACATGTAGTCTTCCAAAAGGTTTCTGGGAGCTTTTTCTCAGAGAAACACTGGATTAATGCAGAGGTTGATTCCCCACCCCCACCCTCCCCCAACTTAAAGGAAAAAAAAAATGCAACTTTTCTATTGTCATAAAAGCATATTTGTATTTGAAAACACATTTGAAATATATTCAGCAGTCTGGGAATCTGCAAAAGATTTATTTACCATTTTGTGTATATTGTACAAGGCCTGGTCTGTAAGTATCTTAGATTTTTTTATTTTTAGGAAAAAGAAAAAGAAAGGGAAGCCGAACTACAGGAGAAGAAAGCAAGATCAGAGAAGATCTTTAAGGAATGGCTACATAATGCTAGAAATAAACCACGCCCTGTTTTAAATGGTTATGGCTTCCAACATGGGAAGTCTGCAGGTTTGTATTTCTACTACACATATGTAGTGACTTAGGTTTGTGGTTCATTCCCTCTAATCTTTTAATGTAAAATGAAGCCTGTTTAAGATTTTCATCCAGTAATCTAATTTTGGCACATAGGAATGAATATCTCATATGGTGTAAGTCAGAGAAGCTTTTACTCTGAGACTCTTTGTGTATTTGCCATAGCCTTTCATGTTATTTGGGAGGAAAATATTATTTGAGAGAATAATGTGGCATACCAAATTATAACTGATTTTGATCTCATTTTCCTTATCAAGCATAGGAATCACTAGAGCCAATTACTGGTTCCTGTGAAGCAAATCAGTTATGTTAGCATCCTTGTAAAGGTAGTGTTTATGTTACAGAAGGTGTGTGCCACCTTATCACACCTGAATCCCCCTTAGAAAAGAAGTGGTTTTTTGAGACGGAAAGATTAATTAGAGGCTGACAGAAGTTCTGTCTGAAGAAGGAGACATGGGAATCAGCCTGTGTTCTGATCTAAGATTTCCTTTCCATTTAGCTTTACACCTGCATCGCACGTTCTTGGCTTCTGTAATCCTATTCCTTTTTTGTTTTAAAAGGAAGTGTTAAAGAGAATGCTGCTTATAGCGTGGTGTTTTGTGAGTCTCACTTTATTTTTGTATTTTTTGTCATCCCATGTGGTACAAAAGCAGAAGAGCAGTAAGAAATAGTATTGCATTTTATGTTTGAGAACTTAATTAAGTTTTCTTTAAAAACATATATATACTTTTGCCTTTATTTTTTCATAGAATTAAAATCATTGTTATTATTTGAATTTGCAACAGAAAATATTTTAGGACCTAAATTCCAGGCTCTGAATTTTTAAGAAAATGTATGAAGCAGGTGAATGACCTTTGCTCTTTTGCTTACATCTGTTTATAGATGGTGAAACACTTTGCCTTCATGTTTTGTTTTGGACCTTCATCACTTCCCCACAGCTGCAATCACTTGTTTAAGTCATCTTTGAAAAATATTTCTCTACTCAGTTGTGGTCATGCAATAGAATATATTACAGGCTTTGTTTTCCCCAGCCACATGATGTATGCGTTGAAATTTCACTACAGACAAATGACTGAAATGGCAACATGTTCCTTCTGTTGCATTTATGTTTTCTGATATTGCTTTATGGGCCCTGGGTTATTAATTGCAGATTATTAATGTATATGTGGATATTTAGTGTATTTTTCTCCTCAATAAAATGAAGAATAACAGTTAAGCAAAGGTGGAAATTATATGAGCGTTGCATATGTGGTGACAGGAGGTTTTATTTATAAATGCTTTGAAATAATGCAAAGTAGCCAATTCATAGACATTTACAGCTTTTAAGTATACAAAGAACTGAGCATTCTGAATGTTATGCAGCATTCGATCTGCTTATTATTTTAAATAGAGATGAAGAATATGCCAGTTATTTGTAAAAAAAAAAAAAAAAAAAAAAGCGGAAGATTCATTACTTTGAATCATTTATATTATGTGATGTGCCTATGCTGTCTTCCTCTGAAGACGCTGTTGTGTCTTTGTTAGTCCAGATCATTGTTATAACTGCTTGCATTGTAAAGCTTGTAGTGTAAATATTCCTTTTCAGTTACGTGTGTTTTCTGAACATTTTAGGGTATGCTGATGGAAATTCGTATCCAGCTCCAGCATATTGTAACCCCATTCCTTGGAAACCTGTACATGTGCCTCCTCCAAAGGAAGACAATGTACTTACCATGAAGAAGAGTAAGAGACCTGTATCTTGTCAGTCACATGCATCTTCACCTATGGTAATTTATAAGCCCAAGAACAGCCCTTGTATTGGATCCTTGTGCAGAAAGCAGTTATAGTACAGAAAACAAAACTATTCTTATGATCTTGAGTGAACTGGGCCATAAATATGAAGTTATATGTAGTTATATGTCCAAAACAGGCTGCTTTTTTGTAATTATTTTTGTGAACAGGTTTTGTATTTACAGCTAACTGACCTATCAGGTTTTTATATGGTTTTTTTATATGTTGCATTTTAGTAAGAAAAAAAAAAAGGCAAACAAATTCATATTTAGCCAATTGTAATGGGACTGTACCTCAACACCAATAAAACGCACAGGATTGTTTCTTCCTTTCCTCCTCTTTTGTTGTTGAAGGAGTTCTTTTGTGTATGTGATTATTCTTTTCGGCAACAGTATTACTGGGTTATTTTAAAGATGGTAATTATAACAGACTTTAAAACAATTCTTGGATTAACATGGAAGGAATTCAAGGCCTGCATGCAGTTGCAGGGCTATGATGTAATTGGGATCGCAGAGATGTAGTGGAATAGCTTACATCGCCGGAGAGCTGCAATGGATGGATCCGGGCTCTTTAGGAAGCACAGGCTGGGGTAGCGAGGAGGGGAGAGAGCAGGAGGAACACATGAAGTTTTGCCCAAGAACTGATGATGAGCCAGATGAGACCTAATGAGTTAAGATTAAAGGGAGACCAAGGTGGGCAATGTTGTGGTGGGCATCTGCTACAGACCACCTGATCAGGAGGAAGTGTGTGATGTTCCTCAGGCAGTTGGAAGAAGCCTTATGCTTGCAGGCCCTGGTCTCATAGGGAGACTTGAACCACCCTGCAATCTGCTGGAAGGACAACACAGCAGAGCACAAACAGTCAAGGGAATTTCTGGAGAGCATTGGTAACTTCCTGAACTTCCTGAGACAGCCGGTAGAGGAGCTGACAAGGGGAGGCTCTTTGCCGGACCCGATATGTACAAACGAGGGAGAACTGGTCGGGGACGTGAAAGCTGGGGGCAGCCTTGCCTGCAATGACCATGGGATGGTGGAGTTCAGGGTCCTGAGAGGAGGAAACAAATAGCAGGATCACAACTCTGAACTTCAGGAGAGCAAATTTTGTCCTGCTCAGGAACTTGCTTGGAAAAATCCCATAAAATACGGTCCTGGAGAGGAGGGGTGCAGGAGAGCTGGTGATTTTCAAGGATTGCTTCCTCCAAGCTGAAGGATGGTCCATCCCAATGAGCAGAAAGTCAAGCAGGAGTGGCAGAAAGCCTGCATAGATGAACAAGGAACGCCTGACTAAAATTAAATATAAAAAGGAAGCATACAAGAGGGGGAAGCAGGAACAGGTGACCCTGGTGGAATACAGAAACACGGTGCAAGTATGCAGGGGTGGGATTAGGAAAGCCAAAGCCTATCTGGAGTTGAAGATAGCAAGGGATGTGAAGTGGAACAAGAAAAGCATCAGCAAACGGGAAATTAAGACAAATGTCGGCCCACTGCCACATGAGCCAAGGGCTTGGTGACAGCGGACGCAGAAAAGGACAAGGTACTTGATGCCTTCTTCACTTCTTTTTTTTTTTTTTTTCCTGGCAATCTGCTAATTGACCTCAGCAATCACAGGTTCCAGAGTCCAGTGGGAAAGTCCGGAGCAAGGAAGACAATCTTGGTGGGAGAGGATCAGCTTAGGGGATATCTAAACACACTGGATGTACACGAGTCTATGGGGTCTGATAGGGTGCACCTGTGAATGCTGAGGGAGGTAAGGGCAACTGTAATTATCTTTGTCATTATAAGGGCACTCTTAATTATCTTTGAGGGGTCATGGCAATCAGGGGAGGTTCCTGAGGACAAGAAGGAAGCAAATGTCAATCCTATTGTGCCTATGCTGTCTTCCTCTGAAGACGCTGTTGTGTCTTTGTTAGTCCAGATCATTGTTATAACTGCTTGCATTGTAAAGCTTGTAGTGTAAATATTCCTTTTCAGTTACGTGTGTTTTCTGAACATTTTAGGGTATGCTGATGGAAATTCGTATCCAGCTCCAGCATATTGTAACCCCATTCCTTGGAAACCTGTACATGTGCCTCCTCCAAAGGAAGACAATGTACTTACCATGAAGAAGAGTAAGAGACCTGTATCTTGTCAGTCACATGCATCTTCACCTATGGTAATTTATAAGCCCAAGAACAGCCCTTGTATTGGATCCTTGTGCAGAAAGCAGTTATAGTACAGAAAACAAAACTATTCTTATGATCTTGAGTGAACTGGGCCATAAATATGAAGTTATATGTAGTTATATGTCCAAAACAGGCTGCTTTTTTGTAATTATTTTTGTGAACAGGTTTTGTATTTACAGCTAACTGACCTATCAGGTTTTTATATGGTTTTTTTATATGTTGCATTTTAGTAAGAAAAAAAAAAAGGCAAACAAATTCATATTTAGCCAATTGTAATGGGACTGTACCTCAACACCAATAAAACGCACAGGATTGTTTCTTCCTTTCCTCCTCTTTTGTTGTTGAAGGAGTTCTTTTGTGTATGTGATTATTCTTTTCGGCAACAGTATTACTGGGTTATTTTAAAGATGGTAATTATAACAGACTTTAAAACAATTCTTGGATTAACATGGAAGGAATTCAAGGCCTGCATGCAGTTGCAGGGCTATGATGTAATTGGGATCGCAGAGATGTAGTGGAATAGCTTACATCGCCGGAGAGCTGCAATGGATGGATCCGGGCTCTTTAGGAAGCACAGGCTGGGGTAGCGAGGAGGGGAGAGAGCAGGAGGAACACATGAAGTTTTGCCCAAGAACTGATGATGAGCCAGATGAGACCTAATGAGTTAAGATTAAAGGGAGACCAAGGTGGGCAATGTTGTGGTGGGCATCTGCTACAGACCACCTGATCAGGAGGAAGTGTGTGATGTTCCTCAGGCAGTTGGAAGAAGCCTTATGCTTGCAGGCCCTGGTCTCATAGGGAGACTTGAACCACCCTGCAATCTGCTGGAAGGACAACACAGCAGAGCACAAACAGTCAAGGGAATTTCTGGAGAGCATTGGTAACTTCCTGAACTTCCTGAGACAGCCGGTAGAGGAGCTGACAAGGGGAGGCTCTTTGCCGGACCCGATATGTACAAACGAGGGAGAACTGGTCGGGGACGTGAAAGCTGGGGGCAGCCTTGCCTGCAATGACCATGGGATGGTGGAGTTCAGGGTCCTGAGAGGAGGAAACAAATAGCAGGATCACAACTCTTCAGGACAGGAGAGCAAATTTTGTCCTGCTCAGGAACTTGCTTGGAAAAATCCCATAAAATACGGTCCTGGAGAGGTGCAGGCGAGGAGAGCTGGTGATTTTCAAGGATTGCTTCCTCCAAGCTGAAGGATGGTCCATCCCAATGAGCAGAAAGTCAAGCAGGAGTGGCAGAAAGCCTGCATAGATGAACAAGGAACGCCTGACTAAAATTAAATATAAAAAGGAAGCATACAAGAGGGGGAAGCAGGAACAGGTGACCCTGGTGGAATACAGAAACACGGTGCAAGTATGCAGGGGTGGGATTAGGAAAGCCAAAGCCTATCTGGAGTTGAAGATAGCAAGGGATGTGAAGTGGAACAAGAAAAGCATCAGCAAACGGGAAATTAAGACAAATGTCGGCCCACTGCCACATGAGCCAAGGGCTTGGTGACAGCGGACGCAGAAAAGGACAAGGTACTTGATGCCTTCTTCACTTCTTTTTTTTTTTTTTTTCCTGGCAATCTGCTAATTGACCTCAGCAATCACAGGTTCCAGAGTCCAGTGGGAAAGTCCGGAGCAAGGAAGACAATCTTGGTGGGAGAGGATCAGCTTAGGGGATATCTAAACACACTGGATGTACACGAGTCTATGGGGTCTGATAGGGTGCACCTGTGAATGCTGAGGGAGGTAAGGGCAACTGTAATTATCTTTGTCATTATAAGGGCACTCTTAATTATCTTTGAGGGGTCATGGCAATCAGGGGAGGTTCCTGAGGACAAGAAGGAAGCAAATGTCAATCCTATCTTCAAGAAGGGCAAGAAAGGTAGATCTGGAGAACTACAGGCCAGTCAGCCTCACCTCAGTCACCTAGAAAGGTGATGGATGTGGCAAAAGTGGCCAGCAGCCTCCTGGGCTGCATTAGAAAGAGCATTGGCCAGCAAGGTGAGGGAAGCGATCCTTCTCCTGTACTCAGCACTGGTGAAAAATACTGAGCTACCTCCTGTCAAGCCTATACGTAAAACGTTACTTGTACCCTTACTTGGAGTGAATCAGTTTGTACAATATGCCTACGACTGTTCTTTCTAGATAATGCCAAATGCTAACAGGACTGCAACAGCTTACAGTAGTTAATAGATTATTTGGTTTGTGTTTGTCAGTAATTTATGATATGAATTAGTATGAAGTCTCACATATTTAGACTTTCACAAAGTACTTCACGTTCACCTATTATTAAAGCAGTGCAAAGGATATTATGCAATCGAGTTTAATTTTTCATTTTACACCTTGAAGTCATGAATATAAAACTATTCATCATCAGAATGAAAAGCAAGAAAAAAAATGCTCTAAAGAGCAATGTATGAATCTTCTTTAAGTCAATTCTATCATTTTATTATAGTAGTGGCTAAAAATAACTAAAATTGGGACCACTATGTACTACAGATTCAAATACAAGTGGAAGCCCATTTTAGTACTTGAAGGTGCGTCATTTAATCTGACAAAACAGACAAAAGCCAGTATGAGTACATGAGTGAATTCATCAGTTTATCACATACGGTGGGTGCCCAAGCTGATCTGATGCATTTCACTTCTGCTGTCACTAAGATATCCAGGCTCCACAGTGTCCGTGACGGGTCTGTTCTTGTTACTTCTGGAACAGTGTGTGAATCAAGTGCCAAACGTTTATGAATATGTAATATACAGCGTGGGTTATCATAGTAGTTAATGGATGTCTCTTAAGAGTACCTGACTTCCTGCAGGCTAGTATTTGTCATAGGGCATGCAGAGTAAAAACTGTTTCTTTTTAACGCTGTATTTATTTAGTAGTTTATTTTCCTATTTATT